TTTTATATGTTAGAGTTGCGTTATTGGTGTTACTAAAAAGAATTACTTTCCCTAATTTTTGTGGACTTTCCTATCAGATCCATTCTAGTTCTTAGGTGTAAACTTTCTATGATATGCCGTATGTTTTGATTTATTGAACTTGAGTTAATTTCCATTATTTTTAGGTATTTAGTCTAAATCAGCAATTTGATTTTTATATATGATTATTGTGAAATCTATTTTTAATAAATTTTCATTTTCTCATGTGTTAACTATAACCATTTATTGTCTATTTTTTGCTTTTTATTGCTTCATTGGCCTATTAAGATCCTAAAATATATTCAACAAGCCCCATCTCTGTCTAGGTGGCAGGCAGTGATGGTTGATGAAATGGATGCCTTAACTGAAATTGGAACTTGGGAACTAGTTGAACTTCCTTTCAACAAGAAGTTTGTTGGCTGTAAATGAGTCTTTGCAATTAATTTTTACTTTGATGGATCTATTGGTCGGTCAAAGCTCGGGTGGTTGCTAAGGGTTATGCTCAAATTTATGTGATTGATTACTTGGACATGTTCTCTTCAATAGCTAAGTTGATTTCAGTTCGCCTGTCTTTGGTCCTTGCCGCAATGAATACTTGGTTTCTGCACCAGTTTGATCTGAAGAATGTCTATTTTGCATGGTGATATGTTAGAAGAAGTTTACATGGAGTAATTTCTTGGATTTGTTGCTCAAGAGAAGTCTGGGAAAGTACATCTTCTTTGGAAGTGGTTATATGGATTGAAGCAAAGTCCTCAAACATAATTTAGAACATTCAGGCAAACATTAGAGGAGTTTGGGGCGTAGAAAAGTAAAAATGATCACATTGTATTGTATAAGTAATCTTCTTTTGAGAATCATTCTATTAGTGGTTTGCGTTGATGACATTGTTATTATTGTAAACAATGTGCAAAGAAGCTTATCGGTGAAATCATTTCCAAAATTAATTCAACACTAAAGATCTGGGTTCTTTAAAATATTTATTGGCGATTGAGGTATCAAGGAGCAAAAAATCTTTTTATCTCAAAGGAATATATTTTGGATTTGTTAGCAGAAACTAAAAAATTAAGAATCAAACAACGTAGGATTCTCATACTTCCTAATCAACAATTTACCAAGAATAGAGAATCCTTTAATCATCCTCAAAGATATATGAAGCTAGTGGAAAAATTAAATGCCCTCACAGTAACTTGTCCTAACATTGCTTATTTTGTTATTACTATAAGTCAATACATGTTTTCCCCCACAGTCCATCATTGGTCATATTTGGAATATATACCATGTTACCTCAAGGGAGATCTTTGACATGATGTTCTATATCAAAATCATGGACATAGAAATATTGAATGTTTCTCTGATGCAAATTGAGTGAGTTCCAAGATTGATCGAAGATCCATTATTGGATAGTGTTTTTGTTGGTGGTAATTTGGTCTAATTGAAAAGCAAGCAACATAATGCATATTGTGTTTTTGTTAGTGTCAATTTGGTCTAATGAAAGATTATGGGTCTTTGGAGCAGCTGCAGCTTATGGGGCAGCTGCAACTTATCCAGCTTATCCTGATAAACTGCTGATCAGCAACTGTCTGGCTGTTTGGTTTGTGCATTTGGAAAACAGTTGATTCTGGATAAATGATCATTCTGCCCATGTTTTAGATAAGTTGTTTAGCTGTTTGGTTTGTGTGTTTCGAAGATAGCTAATTTTTAGGTTTTTTTAAGTAAATGAACAATCTGACGCGCAAAATCTAAAATTCGCAAATCTAAAATTCCTCTAATAAACCAGATAATATATCACAAATTCTTCCACCTGACACTAAAATTGATTGTAGAGTCTTTGGTGAGTTTTTTGATAATTTGCAATACTAATAAAGTCCACCAACGATGCATGAACCACAAGTCCCATCTAGGCTTATCATCTGCATCACATATCATTTCCCTCATAAAATTTTCATCTAAAATTCCAAAAGCCAAGACCATTAAAAATATGTTAGTTTGAAGGAATCGGGAGAATGCTAAATTTCTCCTCAACCAAACAAGTGAAGTAAAACAAATTTAAATTCAATTCTAATATTATTTCTTGTGTTTCATTTCTTATAATTCTCTAAAACCAAACAGAGCCAAAATGACAAGAGAGCGAACTCACTTTGATATATGCATAAATTGTAGGGCAAGCAATGCAGGCAACCGGAGAACGGTTGGACAAAAATAGGTTTCTTATCTCCTTTGCAATCGTGTCTCTGTAGTGTCTCCATCGTACCAGAACTAGCTTAGCCTCCAGTGCTCCGCTACCAGCCTCACGCCCTCCAAGCTTTCACAGCCCCCCGAGTTCTGCTCGCAATGGAACTCTTTCAGAGCTTCAAGGGTATGCTCGCTAAGCAACGGCTGGTCATCATCTTCATCAGTGAGCTCCAGCGATGAATTATGCTTTTCTTCCTGTTCGGCAGACATTATCCTAAGAAATCGTGATGCTCGGCCGATTTTCGGGAAAAATTTTCTATCCGGACTCCGGACTACTTTAAGGGCAGGAAGATGCGAATGAAAAACAGCGTGCGAAGAAAAATGAGGGCAGGGGCGTAATAATACGAATGAAACAAGCGGGATGAGTGTTTCACAAAATTAAAACTGCGTTTTTGGATATGCACGTGAAACACGCAATCCAAACCCTACGGCGGTGTTTTAAAAAGGCCTCACACAGGTTTAAGCTGCCCCAAACAGGCCCTAAGAAACATCATATAGTGTCACGATCCAATGCATAATCAAGTATGTGGCAATGTTGCAAGCATTGAATAAATTGATGTAGATCTCTCATTTCTTGATCGAAATGATTTTTAGGATGATAGTTTCAGCAAAGTTGTGGTGTCATAATCAAGCTGCAATTCATATTGCCTTAACACTGTATTTCATAAATGAAATAAGCACATTGAGATATATTGTCATTTTGTACGTGAAAAAATTCTATAAAATTTGATTTCTACATCTCAAGTAAGGACGAGAGCAACTAGGGGACATCTTTGCAGAGGCTTTTAATGTAGGGGTCGCTTATATTTGTAATAAGTTGGCCATAATATATATCTATACTCCAACTTGAAGGGGGAGTGTTATGAAAAATAATAAATCTAAGCTACTATATTAGGAAGATTGTATTCTAGGTGTTTATTTTTATATGTTAGAGTTGCGTTCTAGGTGTTTATTTGAAAGTTTGATATTAGGTAATCTAATTCGAGGAGATCTAATTACAAGTACTTTTCTATATTAGAGTTCTTAATCGGTAGAGATGAGAGTATATATAAATATGCGACATATGTTTTCAATTAAGAATAAGAGAGAATGAGCAGCTTCCCTTTACAGTATTCATTTGAAAGTATATGCACATTTAAGCATTATATTTAGTGCTTACATGCATCATATCCTTTTATATTATCCATTAGTTATGTCCATGATTTGCTTGAAATTATGCACATTAAATTTTTTGTTAACTATAATAATTATAGGCTTATTGAACCATGTGACGCGATGAGTGTTGGTTTAAATACTAGATCCTTTTTAATGAGACTGCAAAAAATTATTTGCTAGAAAAACAGGACCGTGTAAAGTTAGACAGTGAATTGTGATGAATATTTACATATTTGAAATACGAAAAATTTAATTATTAGCTCAATTTTTTAGTATATCTCATTGGATTTTATATCATGAACCATCAATCAATGGCTTCGATTGTTTTACCATTTTAGCTTCTCCAAATTTTACATCTAATGCATCATTTTTATTATTCATAAATATTAATGCAAAGCTTATTATTGAAATATTGTTTGTGATTAAATCACATGATGATGGAGGCTAAAATTAGCTATTAAAAGTGCAAGGACAAATCAAGAAACTATAAATTTCTCTACATGAGGTGTAACATTTATACCATATCTTGGTTGCTAATTACCAACTAAAGAACTGGTCACCATTAGTTTCACCAAACTAGAAAGAATTGTGTCCTTATCCAACGATTTCCTCCTAGCTTTTTCAATTTTCTTATGTAGCTACCTATTGCTTTATTTCTTTATTTTGGTTCTATGATTCTAGTAGCTCATTGTTGATTGTCTTCCTATGACAATCCTTTTTGTAGCTTTTAATCTGGAGACATGTGGTTTATGCTATCAAACGGTAACATCTTTTTGTAGCTTTTAATCTGGAGACATGTGGTTTATGTTATCAAACGGTAACATCTTCCTGAATATCTGTGGCTTTCCCTCATTATTGGACCTTGATGCTATATCCATTGAAAGAGTTCTCAACTAGTTATTTTTGTTGTAGCTATTTTCACAATTTTGCATTGTAGATTTTTTTAATTGTTTTAAGCGTAATTTATTTGAATTTCTTGTCGAATTTATGATTATAAAATAGTTTATAGTCATGTATAGAAACATGAATTAATTCTACAATAAAATTCTAGATAGATATGCAGGCTTTAATTAGAAGTTTGCAACAAAAGAATTATGCAAGTTTTTTTGCCTAATTTTTCGCAACTCATTAGATCTGAATTAAAAATTTTTTAACCTAATATGTTCTTCATTAAAACATATTTCTATAAAATAAAGGTAAACATTTTATGTAGTACTTATTATGAATGAATAGATGTGGGAATTGATAAAGCCAATCCAAATAGTAAGGATAGGACTAATGAAAAAGCAACTAATATATATGATTAACTTGATAGAAAGTCTGTTCTTATTTATTTTTTAAGTTTTTTTACAGAAATGACTTTGAGTGTATCCAATTTACCTTTTCTGCACATTTTGTTTTAATTTCACTGAAATATTACTCCCATATGACATGAACAAACTTCAAAATAGGTTCCTTTGTTTTTCTTCCCAATAAAAAGAAAATTATGCTGGACTAAAAGTTCAGGATTTTTTAGCCATTTTGACTGATTCCTTTAATATGTTTGCAATGAGTATTTCTGCTTAAACAAAATGCATCGTAAACATGTATGACAGCCTCAGGGAACACCTGAAAATGGGTACATGTGGCACCGAGTTAGTCCCCAGATTAGCTCACCAAGTCAGCCATACTCTTTGAGGGAAGCACTTGCACAGGCGCAGTCATCTAGAATTGGAGCTTCAACAAGAGCTCTAAGAGAGTCTTTGCATCCCTTATTAAGGCAAAAGTTGGTATGTTTTACTGCAAAATCTTGTTCAGTTTCCTCGTGGAATTTGTGTGGATAAGATGACTTGAAGACACCTGATTATTTTGCTCAGGAACTGTGGGAAGAGAATTTAAGTGCTGCAGTGAGTCTTCTGGTTTTGGAGTTGGCAGAAAAGTTTTCAAACGCTGCAGCATCTCATGCTATTGCAACAGATTATGCAAAGCTAGATTGCATTACATCAATATTGACAAGCTTCTTTTCTCGGAGTCAACCCTTATCCTTCTGGAAAGCTTTCTTTCCTGTGTTCAATAATGTATTTAATCTTCATGGTGCGACGCTAATGGCAAGGGAGAATGACCGTTTTTTGAAGCAAGTGGCTTTCCATCTTTTAAGGCTTTCTGTTTTCCGAAATGATTCTATTAGGAGAAGAGCAGTAATTGGACTTCAGATACTTATTAGGGTAACCAATGGCTTCTCCATGCTTTAGTTGTGTTGTAATATTGTTTGTAAATATTTTGTTTTTTTATTCGTATGCAGAATTCTTTTTACCATTTTGGGCATACGACACGGCTGAGAGTAATGCTTACAATTACATTATCAGAGCTGATGTCTGAAGTACAAGTAACTCGGATGAGGTCTGATGGATCTCTGGAGGAGACTGGAGAAGCTCGATTTTTAAGGAAATCTTTGGAAGAAATGGCAGATGAAGGTAGAAGTGCAGAGCTTGTTAGAGGTTGTGGGCTTCCACCCAATGCTCTTGAAGCAATTCATAAGGGTTCCGCAGATAACCGTTGGACTTGGTTAGAAGTCAAATATTTATCAGATTGTCTTATTTTGGCATTGGATGCTGGCATAGAACATGCACTTCTGGTAATTCATAAAACCTTACATTCTGCTTGATCCTGTTTGAAAACTTTATAGCTGTCTTTAGCCTTGAAACTTCTGGATGCATTTTTTTCACTTGTGAAAACATACTTTATTGATGACTACATATTTCATCGATGTCTGCAGGGGAATTTTGATTAATTTAAATTACAATGCGATGATCTTGATACCTTGGAAATGAACCAAGCATATATGAATTTACAAACTGTCATGGTGTTAATGCAATGAATTGTACCTTTTATGGTCATTGGGTTTGCATATTATCATCGATATAGTTTTATCCCAATTATTGGGGCTGGCAGTATGATATGTCATTTATTCATTTTAATTATCATCTGAGATGTCAAACCGATGCATCATAGATCATTTTGAACAACTATCATTGCTATCATCCTCTTCTTTTCTGTTCTCCAAATATTAATTTTGTTTGCAATTGGTGAATTTAAAATCTTTGTTGTGCATGTCCAAACCAAGCCTCTATAGACTAATTCTTCTCTATTCATCAAAATGGATTTGCACTTAGTTACAATTTATATTATCATCGTCATCATTGGTCTTACCCCATCTATTTGGACTAACTTTATGTATCTGCATTTTCATTCATTCTTATTAAGTGCTGCTTGAGATGTTAAGCATATTTCTCACAAATTAGTGGCTGGAAAATGATAGAGAACTGGGATTTGGGATGAAATCAATTACTAACTTTATGTATCTGCATTTTCATTCATTCTTAGTAAGTGCTGCTTGAGATGTTAAGCATATTTTTCACAAATTAGTGGCTGGAAAATGATAGAGAACAGGGCTCTGGGATGAAATCAATAAGAGAACTTCACTTTCATGCTAATTAGAACATTCATTTTCTTGTCTTTTTGATATTTATCATGAATCGAAGCACTTTTTTGTTCCCGGTCACTGTAGCGGGAGGCGAACTATTGTCAACAGGTGTGAATTGGGTTTTGGCTTCTCGATGGGGTCGTTTGCAAGTAAACTAGTGAAGTAAGAGGCAAAGATAAAGGTTATAAGGAGGAAGGAAGGAATTGGAGAAGGAATGGCTATGCAGGGAAGCCCGTTTGGGGCGAGAAAATTATGTTTGGGATTAAATCATGATATATGTCAAAGATTTCTTGAATATCCTGAGAGCTTTACGAATGTCGGGTTATTTATACTAGGCGGAGAGCTTGAGGTGAGTTGAAAAAACTTGTCATTGGATTACTCCGTCGATTCCGGTGAAAAATCCTGTGCTAAATTAAGAATAATATTTTCTTAGGATTTGATATGTGAATACATTTAGAATTTATGCATATTGAAAGATACTTGAACATGATTATGCTAATGCTAGTTGGTATTGACTCTTAGTATGATTATGATTTTCTTATGATATTGATGTAATGAGCATATTATGAAGTATTTGCTTGGAGATATTTTTATCATGTTCGTTATGCATATGATTATGCATTGCCTATGATTGTTTATTACAAAAATTATGATTACAGGAATGTCACAAGTGTTGTGTTAGGTAGGCTATTACATGAATACTTGTAAATACGAATGATAGGGAACGATAAGATTCCCGACTCCTGGTATTCAGATGGATGAAATTCGGGTACTGTTGGGATCAATGAAGATAAAAAATAATGAATTGTTGGTATCAGTGATGTTATTGATAATTGTTATGTTATAAGAGGGGACTCGGCCTTTATTAATAGTTAAATTAGCCTTCGGGCTAGGTGATAACCCAAATGATATAAAATGACATTGAAATAGTTGAATATATACAAATACAAGTGATATTTCTATAAATATGCTTATGATTACGCATGAATTGATGAAATATATGTTTTATATAATTGTCATAATTCTACGTATTAATGTTTTTCTTTTACTTGTTTATATGAGTACAGCATGTTGTGTCTTCTTGTAGACATGTACATGAGCTTCATATGATCATGCACATTATTTCTTTTTCCATTTATAAAATAATTTTTAGCCCTAATTATTTCGTTGAATTTATAGCTCACTCTATGTTGTTGACTTTTAGGAAGGGTTAAGGAATATCAGGGCAAGTAGCCAATTGTGATGTATACAGCTTTTGCATTTTATAATTTTGGAGTTATATAGACTTAGGGTACATATTTTTATTCTTTGGATTTAGTAGCTTCGTATATATGTTTTAATAATATAATTTTTTATGCTTCCAAATATATGTGAATGTGAATGAATTATGAATTGAAAATATATTATGCACATTTGTGGTGATTTAGTTAAAAAAAATTCGCCCATTGTGTCTTGATTTTATATGTCAGGATGGATGCTGGTGAAAATTTGGTATAACCGAATCGTCTGTGTCTGTTGCATTGCGATTGACCCTAAAGTTGGGGTTAGTTGAGGTGTGACACAAAATGATATCAAAGTAAAGTTATTGGATGAAAATAATGATGAAAACATATTGGATTAGAAGAAGAATGAGATCAAAGTTGAATTAATTTTTACAGAGTTATAGGTTGGTTGTTCTAGGATTGGTAACCCATGACATGATATCATGCATGCTCAACTTAATTATTATATAATAAATCGAATTTAAATAACAAGTTATGTCAATGTAGATGAATATGCTTGAAAAAGAAACAGAAAGCACCGAATGCTTGTTTCCTAGGCCAATTGTAGGGTGAGAAATACAAGTTGAAAATGTCTTGAATAGAAATGATAATCTAAATAGGATGAATGAAGAAATCAAAGCCACCAAATTATAGGGTATTATTCAGTTAATATTGCAAGTGGTTGATAAAATAATTGTTCTTGAAAGATCATCTACCAACTCCAAGCCCAAAACTCAATATGACACAAAAGTTAATTGACATTTGAAGATCTTTTAGATATTCATGCCACTTGCATTCAAATGTGCTAGTGTGCCTACAATTGTTAAAGATTGGCTATTAAAGATTGGAATGATTTTGGTTGACATGATCTGTCCAGAGAATAGGAGAGTGGTGCTAGCCATTTTCTTGTTAGAAGGCATGGCAAAAATGTGGTGGCAAACACAACATAGAGAAAAATTTCAGCTAACACGTCTTCCATGGATTGGGTCGAATGAATTTGTTCAAGTCTTCAACGATTGGTTCATTCCACCTTCGACCATATTAGCATTGTAGAATTCAATTCTCTTTCTGGATATGCATCCTATTATGTCATTGCTCAAGAAGAAAAATGTCATTGATACTTGAGTGGTCTTCAAGATCAATTGAGATTAGCTTTAACTCCATTTGAAATCAATGACTTCTCACTGTTTGTTGAAAGGGCCTGAAGTATTGAAAATGCGTTGAACCTGTCCAATCAGCGATGACAACTTCAAGCAAACAAGTGGAAAGATTTTGGCAAGGGAGAAGACCCCCAAAGTGAAATCAATGACTTCTCACTGTTTGTTGAAAGGGCTTGAAGTATTGAAAATGCGTTGAACTTGTCCAATCAACGATGAAAACTTCAAGCAAACAAGCGGAAAGATTTTGGCAAGGGAGAAGACCCCCAAAGCAAGAAAGTTAAATTGGAAGGTAAGCAGAAATAGTCGTAGTTGGAAAGGTCAAATTTATGAGGAATGTGGAAAAGATATTTTAGGCAGTGCTTAATGAGTTTAGGAAAGGACTAGAGGTGGACTGTCAGGGATCTTTTGATGAACTATCCATGGGAAAATAAAAGAGATAACAAACCACCGGCATTTCAAGGATAGAGATTGTCGAGGAATCTTTTAGAAGATGACCAGTCGAGCAAAAACTCAATTTTTTGGAAAGCCTTCAACTCAAGTCAAGGTTCAATGTTTTGGGCGTCGAAATGAACAATGAGTGAAGGCCAATTTTTTTGCATTTATCCTTCAGAAAGCTAAAGAATTTGAAGAAGTGATAACAAGTGCGCTTCTGATTTTAAATCAGTTGGATACTGTTTTATTTGATTGAGGCGTATCACATTCTTTTATTTTTAAAGAGTGCACTTTGCTTCTGCCCTATATATTATCATGCCTTCGGGACTTGATTTCTATGCAAATAGGTTTTATGCATGTTTGTATTTCTGATAAAAAATTGCTAGCATAATTAATTATCATACAAATTTTGATTTTTGATGTCTTACTGGGAATGGGATGGATGGTGAAACATTTTACTACAATTAATGCTAGGAAAGGTAGGTGAAATTTAATTTGCTTGACGAGAATTTATTTTATTTTTTCTGTGATAGGAATGCACAATTTTTTTCCGATTAGTGTAGTGAAAGTTTAAAAATATTTACGAAGTAGTGAACTAATGTTCTTAGCAAAATTAGAAGTGTTGAACAAGGATGTACATGAATTAAAGAACATTCTAGTTGTAGATTTTTTAATGTATTTTCTGAATAGCGCTACATCGGAACAAAATGTTCAGTTTGACTTTTGATGTGTAGACAGGGACGTCTACAATTTTCAAATCTCCTTACAGTATGACTCTGAATGAATTATAGGAATAGTAATGTCAATTGTAGGAAGGAATAAATAAGGATTTTATGCGGCCAAATAATTCATTTTGGAGTGCTCCAATATTATTTTCATGATAAAAGATAGATCTATGCAATTATGTATTAGCTATAGAGAGCTGAACTGAGTGATAATAATGAATAAATATTCATTGCCCGAAATAGATGATTTGTTTGGTCAATTGGAAGGTGTTGCTTTCCAAAATTGATCTGTGATTGGGAAGAAGAAGAAGAAGGCTTAGAATTGTGCAAATTAGGGCAGAGCGGGGGTTCGATGGAGCAGAGAGGATCACGTGCAGAAGCTTCCGGTGCTGGGGATGTTGCTCGATTTCGGGTTAGGGCAAAGAAGGTTGCCGAGGATTTGCAGTGTGCGGGAAGACATAGACGAAGGCTTAGAATTGTGTGGAAAGCTAAAGAATTTGAAGAAGTGATAACAAGTGCGCTTCTGATTTTAGGTCAGTTGGATACTGTTTTATTTGATTGAGGCGTATCACATTCTTTTATTTTTAAAGAGTGTGCACTTT